TTTTCTTTGGAGAGTGATCCATATCTCTCCTTTCCCAAGCACACTATTCGTCAAGTATAGCGTAATAAAGTCCTCCGCTAGGCACTGGCCATTAATTTGATATACCACCATATTCCGAGACCTAATATTAGAAGAAATGCGTAGCGTCGATGAAGAAAATTAACATTGTTGCAGTTAGCAAATCATACTTTACCCGAAAGAAAACTAGCTAAACACAATTATGCTATATGTATGTTCTTTTTTTTCTCTCCATTCATGTCAAGAATATCACATATGTAGCGTGAGCGTCCTGTTAAAATATCTTTATTAATATTATTATTATTATTATCATTATTATTATTATTATTATTATTATTACATCATCAGTCATTTTCTCCGTAGGACATGATTTTCAATTTTCAGTTGTTTTTTTTTCTGCCTTAAATGTTCTGTGGCTTAACAATTTTTAATCTTTCAATCCCTAGGTACATGTACATGTTACAGTCTTATTTCCAAGTCCTTATGTACGGTAACAGTGCAACCAACCCAGTTCTGTATGCGTTCCTTGGTGACCAGTTCAAGAGAGGTTTTAAAAGAGCCATTCGCGGTGGGAGCCAGAGTGGATTCTCTCCTCAACGAACTTTGAGCTCTCGTATGAGTTCTTTCCGGTGAAACGGAACAGTACACCAGTTCAGTTTTGAAAGAAATGTATGGAAAGCTTCATTTCAGTGCCTCGTTTCAAAGAAAATGTGACTTTCCGAAGACAATAAAAAAGGCAGTCTTCCAGACAATGAGTTTTCAGACAGTATTTTCCTTCATTGTTGAAACGAACATTTCCACACAGTTATTGCGAGAACTGAATTTAAAAAAATAAATAAAATATTGCATGGATCATATCTTTGGGAACTTTCAGTGATGTAACATGTAAAGAGACATGCCAAACCCATGACATTATTATACGAAAGAGTATGACCACTCCATGTGAACTTGTTTCAAAGGCACTCGATTAGCAAACGTCACGGTTAGGATGTCTGGGTGCTTTAGTGTAGAAAGTGGTAATCCGCAGTAAAGTTGTAGGCCTGACCAATGTACATTTTCTACATCCAATTAACCATTCTGATTGATAAAATTTCGCGTTAATCAACTTAAAAAAAAAAGCCTAAAACGGTAATTATATAAACTGGTATGTGTACTGGAGCAAGCGGGTTGCTTTAACATGTTCAACATGCACATCGGGTTTGGCTATGAGTTGACAGCAAACTGTAATACAATTGCAAAGTTTACGATTGTGTTTAAAATATCTGACCAGTTTGGTTGAAGCCTGTGACGCCTCTATGTTAAGGACTCTATTTTTTAGATAACTTATCATTGAGTTTTGAACAGTCACAATATTACAAATGAAGATACAACAACTTTACACTTCACCTACTACATTATGGTAATAGGACTAATAGCAGTTTAAATGCAGTTGATTTGTTAACTGGGATTATCATGATTGATATATTATATAAAAAATATATATAAAGTGAAATATTTCGTTTGCATTTGCTTATCAATTAACAAAGTATTGACAAAGATTATTGGAAGAATGTATTAAAGCTCTGTTTTCAATGATTTTCGAAATGAGTGTGCCCAGCTAGTCCCGCAGTAATGCATTTGCTTACATTTGAAGCTCCACTATCTGCGCAACCTTTCCCCCTTAATAATAATAAGCCATTATTATTAGTTTGACAAACTAGAACCTTAACCAAGAATCCAGCTGAAAAAGACTGCAGTGTTCCTCTTTTTGACCACACAGTGTGCTCTGAGGGTGGCGTGGGTAACGGAATCTCAGCTATGAGTTAAAAAACACGTCACCTCTCAGATCTCGAAGTGAAATCAGTTATACCAATTCTGAGCTATCAGCTATACGCTGTGGACCGATTCTATGCACCATGGGTGGAGCAGGGTTTGATTCGATGTTCTGGTAAGCTGTTTTAAGATGGATTCTATAAATTTTGATTTCAAAAACTAAGCAGTGCATTCGTCTATGGTAGAGCGTTTGAGGTCGAGAGTTCCATAGGCAGAGCCGTTGAACCGGACACAGTGCCTCCCTTTACGCAGATGGGCAAACAGGTATCAATGATCAAGGGAAAACCTTGCAAAATGCCAGCACCAAGTAAAGAATCATAGGCAGCAAGTGCGACAAAAGGAAGTCTTGACTAAACTCCAGAGAAGTAATCAGGCTCAGAATATGACACTCCTCGAGGAGCTTGAGACTTTCAAAGTAAACATTTCCATAGGGTTATCCGGTAACTGAGAAGAGACTATGATAGATCATAGTCTCTTGTAACTGTTATATCGTGTGTCATGGCATCATGGCAACTGACGGCTGACTAAAGGCAAACGTAACAAAACTTAAAGTAAGAACAAAGAAATATACACATGTGAGTTGACACCGCTACTTTGCCTGAAATTTCAGGGGCCTCTTAGTTCCTCAACCTTAAGGCTGGTTTCCATATGATCGCAGACGATCGCGGATCGCGGATCGCAGATCGCAAAATGTTCTGCGATCGTCTGCAATCATATGAAAACACACTTCTGCGATCGTCTGCGATCGTCTGCGATCAATTGCGATCGTACGATGATATGGAAACCAAAGTTCTGCGATCTGCGATCGAAACGTATCCCATAATATTTTGAATTCTGACCCATGA